AAACTATACGAAGAGTGTGAGAAGAGCGTGTACACTCTTCGAAAAGTGTATTATACTGACTTGGGTAGTTACAGTAATTTAATTACATTGAAAACTTGTAAATCTCATTTTCTTGCCAAACTACATAATCTCGGCAAATTTGAAGAAATTTCATTGCATATTAAAGGTACTTCCCATACAAAATTTTCGTTTTTGAGCGAAAAATCCAAAATTTTGCTCGGGAGGTACCCCTAATATGCATTGAAATTTCGTTAAACTCTCAGAATATTATTTTTGTGTGAAAAAAATAGCCAGTGCAAACGTCATTTACACAATACTCATTGAAATTTCTTCAAATCTGACAATATTATGTATTTTGATAAGAGAATAATTATATGTCGTTTTATAGAATTAAAAAAGAAAGCTGTTAGTCCTTTGTTAAAGTTTTAAAGAGCATGTAGAAAGTAGATACAGTTTTGATAGCCTGTAACGATTAAAAATATTTCATTTACAAAAAATGTTGTCTTATGATGTTTTTTCCAGCCTTTCTAACCTTGCAAAATGTATTCAAATTCAAGATGGTTAAGCCAAATCCTGAGTAATGGATTGGTTTTTGTGAAACTGCCAATATCAAAATGAAATTTCTTTGTAATTTAGTCGGATATTCCTGCCATTTTGATTCGTACAAATGGTTGGCCATGTTCTCATAACTTTCGGTGGCCATTGATCCAAAGAAACAGAACACGAATATGTTCGACAAAGCAACTCCAATTAACAAGATTATTGCTATTATGACAAAATCCGGATGTTTCAATTGCTAATAATTAAGAAAGAAAACTAGTTCAGCAAACTGAATAAACAACGATTTAAATTTAAAATTACTAAATCCAATTGAAATAATAGACAGGCCAGTGCTATCATACTGCTTAATAGCTCCACCAAAATAAAAGGACTGAGCATTTCTGCTGATTGCAAGAAAAATCTAAAATAACAATTTCCAATGAAGATTTGAACGCTTTGAATGATCTGAAAATAATCAAATGTTCAACTTACGTTCTAACCGATACATGAAATTCAACTAGATCGCTAATAGCCTTCTTATTAACCTGAACATCACTGACGCTATTAAATGTGCTCAGTATATGTCGAAAAATGCTTGAAAATCCTCGATGATGTAAACACAATGAAATGAAGAGTAAAAGAATCGAACCATTTGTAATGAAATAACATTCAGCCACAATTAGTGAAAAACAGATTTCGCCAGTGAATCCAATTGTCGTTTTTTGACTCCAAGGCAAACTACATAAAATGACACGTCTTTTTCACTCGAACAATAAACTATGATGCGATTATTCTTACATGAAATTAAAAACCCGATAAGCGTACGTTACGTCGAAATAACCACGCATAATGAAGGAAAGTGATATCGAAGCTGTTGCCATCACAATTACACTCATACCAAATCCTAGCATTATATACTTGAAGTAAATTCGCCACATCTTGTCGCTTTGATTATTTACTTTGATTAAAATCCCAAAAAAGTCACCATTCTTATCTGGATGATATACATTTGTGTCCGTAAGAATAAAAACGGAAATACATAAACGGAATCTGAAGAACGTTACATACATTTTTTTACATAGTATAATTCCATACGAAAAAAATTATGTAGCGTTCTAGATTCCGTTTTTGTATTGCCATTTTTATTCTTACGGACACATTTCTATTAAATAATATGAAAATGAATGATCTTTACTTGCGTTGTAAATATTTGATAAATTCTGAAAAATTGCAGCAATTTTGTGGCTTTGTAGCAATAAAACCGAAATTATATAGAGAATTGATATTGTTCCAAAAATGTTAACCAGAGAGTACAACGATTTTTCCAGGTCATTTGACATAAATTTCATGAAAAATGCAATTCCGGCCATTAGAGAACAATAATGCGTCATAAAAATGCACGATGTTGCAGTGATGCACCAAAACCTATCCCATTTTTCAATCGTTTCGTCAACTGGATACACACAAAACCACTTTAAGACTTGCTGATTTTTCAACAACGGCTTCATGATCGATTCTCTTTCTTCGTTAAACTAAATGTGATGATAAATAGAGTTACTTTTGGGGTAAATTTTTCGAAGAGTTGTGAACATAAATATTTAAATGTTTCTCTTGAAACTCTCATTTTCATGATGTTTATTTCTCATCGGCTTAGTTCTAATCAACTTCTGAAAATTATCCACTAATGTTCAAAACAAATTTTGAATAATTAAGAACGTGCTGTGTTTTCTTTTCACTTGAAATATTTGTCGCATTTTAAATAAACTCCAAGATTTTGTGCTACGATATGCGATACGCGCGCTTTTAATTAATATTTTGGTGTAGAACATCATAGTAATCAGGTAAATTTCGTAAAATTTCACCCATAAGAGACCTCGAAATTCAATCAAAACAATGAGAAAATATTGGAAATTCATGAAAATATATTTCTTCCGTAGTTGTTGAAAATAAAATGTTTTTCGGAAAATTAATGCTTTAACTTAAACTACCTTTCCCACACAAGGTGTGAGGAAAAGTAAAATGAAGCAATTATAAACATTGCGTGTTTCAGTGGTTTTGTTTATGTTATGATGACGAACTTCTCAGCACATAAAAAAATCTATCGGTAGATAGATTCATTTCAATGGATCTCAACTGTTTGTCCTTCATAAAAAATGCATATTTCAAACCATTGAACGAAATCACAAAACTAATTGATATTTTTTACCATTACGGAATTTCGAATCGTGAGAAATAAACAGTTGAGTGTCTTTTTTGGTAGTAAATCTTCAAAATTTAACGGCATTTCATATGGCATACGTATATATGATCAAGTATATCATTTCAGAAATAGGGTAGAAAACTACCGAAATCAAAACTACTAATTTATACAAAACTCTTTAGTCCAGTTTTTAAAAATCTAGTTTGTACAATTGAAAACCAAATTATCATTACAACAAACTGTCCAAAAGAGAATATGCACTTTGCTAACTGTAAAATGGTTTGATTGGAAAATTGTTTTGTGTGTTATAAAATTCCCTTTTCTATACAAAGTCAATTTCATTTTACATGCAAAATCACGTTAATTGATTAATTGGCAGGTTTCTTCATTGGTAGTTTATAAATCCAATCGAATATGAAGCACAAATCGATTATGATTCTTTGAATGAAAGTTTTCTTTGACAATGCAAAAGAATGTTTGATGAAATAAATAGAACAAGTGACCTAATTTCCAAAAGACAGAAAATCATATAAAAGGGGTGACAAATTAAAATTTACATCAGTTCATATTCCTCTCTTATTACAGCCGATGCAAAAAATATTTCAGTGTGAAAGTAAATTTTGGTATCAATAAATATCGCTGAAATTATTTAAAAAAAAAACTGGCAGTGATGGAACCAATGGTGATGAATAAAAAGGTCTTAACTTGGCTGTGTATGTATCCCTTCGAAGAGGGTACAACTTGGATCATGAAGTTGGCCTATATCACTTACACATTCATAACGTTTGTCGTAAATTTAAGTGCTGTATTTTGTGCGGGTGCTTTCATTTATACGTTTGTGAAAACCGATTTGGAACTGTGTTTATATGCACTTCTGCATATCGTTGCACATTCTGCCATCGTTTATATTCAAATCGCAGCCTGTCTTCTGCAAAATAAAATTAAAACCGACATTTTTGATCATTTGTCGGCGATTTATGCGGCGAGTAAGTACCCCTTAAAATTAGAAGCATCATTAATGAATATCACTACATGTTCTTTTCTGTTGATATTCAGACGAAAAAAAGGACCATTTCCGGTATTTGGTGGCCGCAAACACAAAAAGTGAATGGGTGTGGAGCTTTTTCTTCAAATTCGCCGTTTTCGGCTACTTGGTAAACAATGTATCGATGTGTGCATTTCCAGCCATTTTATGCTGGAAGAGAGGTCAAGGTTTTGACGTCAAATATCTTTATCATCCATTTAAAGTTTTGTTAGTGTATTTTTTTTCTCCGATAATAATCTCAAATAAATCTGTGTCTACCAAAAATACTTTTCCCTTTCGCACTAGGTGTGTGCGAAAAAGTAAAAAATCGATGCATTATACATTCGACTTCGTCTTTACTGAATTCTGTTCTAGATTACCGTGGAAACAATCAACCCTATTTGGTTACCTTGCCGAAGTCTTCTATGGTACATTTTTGTGTGAAGTGTTCATCGTTGCTACTGGTTCTGTGCTTTGTTTATTCATGTCAATGAGTTGGCATCATGAGGCATTTCTATATATATTCCGTCATTCAACGCGTAAATTGGAGCTAATAAGAGACGAAAAGCATGCCAATGACATTGTATGCAATTTGGTTCGTTTTCATATTGTGGTCAAAGAGTAAGTTTGACGATGCCTTGATCTTTCCCTTTGTATCAAATTGTTTCATATATCTTTCAGATGGTTTTTGGAATCGGCCAATGTGTACAGCTCTTTTATATTAATTCAATTGATTTGCAGCATGATCTCAATGACATGTGTTGTTTTTCAACTTGACTTGGTAGATTTCATTCATTTTTCCCGTGGATTTTTTTATAGATATCTTGTGTAAAATTCCAGCAACTCAAACGATTTGACTTTAGCGTGGGCTTATTGGTGTCTTGCGGATTGGTTGGTGTGGCCAATTTATTTTTATTTTGTTACTTCGGAAAGTTGGCTACACAAAGCTTTGAGGGCATGTCTGATGCATTGTACGAATCAGATTGGCCAGAACTTTCTGTTCGTTTGCAGAAATATTTTATCATTATGGTTGGAAATACGCAGAAGAGTATATTCTATAATGGTTTTGGCGTGGCCGTGTTGAATTTAGAAACGTTCACCAATGTAAGTTAAGATGCATAGAATCAAATCCAGTAAAATTGGTAAATATTCATGAATATTTGGTTTAAATGAGTGTGCTCAACATTTCAGTTCTTCAAGGCCGGGCTCACATACTATATGGTAAGTAAAATCCATCATTATTATTATTTTGTTTTTATTGTTGTATGTTTCTAGGCCTTCAAGACTATGACAACTAAATAATTCAGACACAACTCCTTGAGTCGCTTTTCAGTTAGAGAAATGACGAACGGTTGGTTCGTAATAATTCAAATTAAAATGGCGAATCATTAATCCATCATTTTCACTAGTTTGTGAAATCAATTGCCGTTGTTAAGACTTAGTTAGTACATTTTAACGGATGCTTTCTTAGTTTAGCTAATTCAAAAGATTATTCTTTTGAATTTAATTAAAATACACGTAAATCTCTTAAAATTGTTTAGCTAATTGACAAAAATGTTATATATAGTTTTTGGCCAGCAGTTTGAAGTTTAGTCACTTCTTACCATTAGTTTTTTTTTTTCTCACACTGCGGAAAAGTAAAAGTAATAACATTGTTGTGAGCACTCAAATTAATCAAGTATTTTATAATCAATATCTGCAAAAAATCTAATGCATGTAACTGTAAAAATGTGCTTATACAAGTAAGTACGCCAGGCATGTATTCGACTCCTTAACGAGAAAATACAGGAATTTCAGTTTTTACTATCTTTACCAATTTTGAATTGAAATATAATGAAAAATGTAAGAGTTTTTTGTTTCAACAAAGTTTTTTATGTTTTATGAAAACATTCTCGTGTGAAAAGTGACTGACTCACTAGCTGCATTCAACTGAAAATGAATTTTGTTAACTAAAACCGTCGACCTAGTCTTTAGTAGTCTATTTTTCTGATATTAAACAGACGACTAATTTGGGACGTTAGATGACTATAGCCAACTGTGATTGAAGTTGATTTGAGTTATATTTTTCTCTACTGCAATCGTCCGACAAATCAAGCAAACCAACTTTAAATGATTTCAATCTCAGTTGGCTTAAGCCAGAAACGTCCCAAACCAGTTAACTGACTAGTCAGTCAGTAATTTTGCACACCGGTTATTAGAAGAAATGATTGAAGAAAAAGAATATATTATTAACTTTTCGCGCGATATTTTATTAATTTCAACATGGAATGATAACTATACAAAATAAATTCTCAAAAGAGCTGGTTAAAACTAGTTGCTTTTGAATATATAGAGAATTTCTTTTCTGATGGGTAATTTTTGCCGAAAATACTTCGGAACATAATAATCAAAATTACAGTGATAATCACCATAATTCAAAATTGTGTCCTGATCCTGAAATTCTTCATCAATTCTCATGGAAAATAAATAAAAAATCTAAACAATTTATTCAATCTACTTTGAACCAATTATCAAAAATCATTCGAAATCAGAATCGCGTCGAAACTGTAGAAAATATCTATAATTATCATTAACCTCTTTCCAAAGAGATTTCAAGTGTGGATCTGCTTCAAAATCGGTAACACCAATTACTCGAATTTACTTTTTCTCTTTTCTTCGACGGAAATAATTTTAATATTTTCTGTTTTTTATATTTAATTTCCAAACGCTCTCACCTTTGACTCTCACAGCTAAGTAGCTACTATTTTCAGTAAAGAAACCTCCTCAAAATATAATAATCATGATGAAAAGCATCAAAATCTGTAAAGCGTTCATTCCCCGGTGAATTAACTTAATAAACTAATAATCCATGTTTTGCGTCACAAAATTTTGCAAACTATTCAATGCAAATAACACGAGCACCGTGCGAATGGATAAACTGTATTGAATGTAGTCAGAATGGTGGGGAATGAAAGCATATGTACATAAAAGTAAAGATTATATGATCAAAACCACAAACCGTACGTTGGTTGCCGTCGTGTGTACACACGCGACAAATCGCAAACCCAAACATAAGCACATCTTATATGGTAACGGGTGCAAGCAAGCAATCACGCAGAAAGACAGATAGAGAGCATGTATGTGTTGCAAATTTGTAGGTACACACAACAAAAACAAATCCATTTCCGAAAAGGTAAAAGTGAATGCGCGCTCACAGCGGCACATACACAACTACAACAACGTTGCCATTCATCAGCTCCTCCACCACCATCGTCGCCGCAACGTCGATAACATTGTCTGGTCTCAAAATGAATAGTGAAGTAGTGAATATATGGAGTTTGAAGCTGATTAGTTGAATCTAGTTTTACTTTCATTTGCTTGTGATATTTCTTTTCGTTCAATTCGCTGATTTTTTTATATTTTTTATTTGACCAAAAAAACTAAAATTCAAAAATTTTGTGACCTTTAAACAAGTCGATCTACTTGTTCGATACGATATTAAAAAAAAGTTAGAAAGTTGCATTTTGTGCATCAAATGTGGACCGTGTTCCAGTTACGTGCATTTTTATTGCCGCAGGTTAACAGCGAGCATTACAAATGAAACAGTGACACAAACGACATTGTTACTATTGATTTATTTTTATGTTTTGTGATTATTAAAAGTTAAAAGTGTTTAAATAATAAGAGAATGAAGATTCCCATAAATAGACTGACCAAATTGCTAAAATCAATGCCAAAATGGTCAACAACAATGACTGTGACCGTTTGCCTTTATGTTTTGTTTATAATGGTTGTGCTCAGCATATCGTTCCCATTAAAATCGTCGTCGTCACATAAAATTGGCCGAATTGAACACAACGACCGCGTGAACGATATCGCTTATTTGGATGATGATGCCAACGGTTTGGGCCAAAATGAACAAAAACTATTGCAACGAGCTCGCGACCTACCGACTGCCATCAATCGCAGCGACATTCTACGGGACGCATTCAAAAAGTAAGTGCAAGTGATGATGATGACGCGCATGCAACAAAACATGCATCGCGGTGAAAGTAAACAACGGAGAAATGGAAACAAAATGATACGAATTGAAGGAGAATATACCGCAAGCCGATTTTGTACGACGGATTATGCAAAAAATTCAGAGATGGAATCATGTTGAAAGAACACTTTTAACTAATATTGAGAAAAATTGAATTCAATCAACGCGTTTAACTAATATAAAAAAAAACGATTACAATATAAAACTTCCATTAAATTGTGAATGTTCGATTAAGTGCAAAAAAAACATTTGGTGTGAAAATTCGTACATGCATTTATTATTTTCATTCCATTATATGCCAAAAGTGATGATTTTCCCACGAATCTTTCACATATTTGTTTTTTTTTTTTGCCTTAATCGCTCAATGTATTTCCAAATATATAAAAAACGTTTGAAACTGATTTTCTCCTTTCCAGGGCTGATTTGGATGGAGACGATGCATTATCACTGCAAGAATTGGCCAGATACATAAATCGTCGAATACGCACCCATATCGAAGCATCAATTCGAAATAATCCAATAATATTTTCCGAAATTGATCAATCGCCCCGAAACGGTCTCATCACATGGGATGAATATTACACGTATTTCTTAAAGCAATTAGGCTATGACGACGCATTCATTCAACAAATCGACCGCAAAAGAAACTCAAATTTAGATAGAAATACCAAGGATTTGTTAATACGTGATAAAGCACTGTGGAATGAAGCAGCACGAACCGATACATTCTTTTTGACACTTGACGAATTTTTGGCATTCAAACATCCAGGTGATATCAATGTCTTGATTTGATCAACTTTCTTAACAAGTAGAATATTTAATGATATAAAATTTCGATTCAGAATCAAGTGCTGCAAATCTATTGAGTCTGGTCGATGATCTATTGCGTCAATTTGATGAAGACGGCGATGACCATTTGACAATGGATGAATTTTCCAATGTAGTTGCCGATGATTTGGACGATAAATGGCGTCAATACATGATTGAAAAAAATACATTCCAGCGACAAGAGGAATTTAAGCGATTGATTGATAAAAATCATGATGGAGTTGCCGATCGTTCGGAACTATTAACGTATGTTAGTCCAAAGCATCCAAGACATGCTCTTCAAGAGGCGGCTATTCTATTTAATATCGCCGACCTCAACAAAGACCAGAAACTCTCCTTACAAGAGGTTCATTATTACTTTAAACGTCATCATTTTGAATGAAAATAAAAAAAATCTCTTTTTTCTAGTTGGAAAGTGCCGGCAATGTGTTCATGGTGTCACGAATGATAAATACATCTCAAACTTTTCACGATGATTTTCGTTAGATGCACCGAATAAGCAAATATGTTCAATTATCTTCACTGATCCAGCATAAATTCCGCCCGCAATTAGAAATTAGAAAAACTTATAGACTCACACTACTCGGAAATCACCAAATACTCTCGAAAAACTGGATTTTCAGTTCATAAGTCGTATTTTATATGGATATTTACATGTACTCGAATAAAAAAAGCAACATCGGATTTAGAAATTACACGTGAAATCATATTTCGGTGTTTAATTTACAAAGTGTACTTTGAATAAATAATTTTGATTAGCGACAGACAATTTTTGAAGAGAACAGGTCGGAAATCACAACTTGAAAGTGAAATGTTGATATCAATGGATAGAGAAAATTGTCTAAACCGCTGAAAAGTTAACTTTGCTTTGAATTAAAGTGAGCGGTTTGAGTGAGCCTATTCATATATCACAAGTGGCGCCATCTATTGGAAGAAATTACTACGTTGATTCTACGCCGTAAAAACATTCTCCATTGAAGCACGAAATACAGTCAAAATAATTAAGAATATTTCATGTAAAAATATGAAAATGAAAAAAAAAAAATCGAATAAATCTTTCTTTTTGTGAAATTAATTTGAATTAATTGATAAACTGCTGCCTTTTAATTGAAAGGGATTCAATGACTTCACTCCAAAGTCGATTTGACAATTTGACAATCTCGAATTCACATTGGTTCGTACTGTCATTCAACCAAAACAATGTACAACTACAACGCAAAAACGTCATCCGATTCGATGATTTCAACACATCATAAATGTTTGATAGCAAGAAAAATTGCTGCACAAATGTAAACATCAAAATCATTACATTGAAAACAAGTGACTAATTAAATAAAAACACTCATTGTGTGTGGTTCGACGTTGTTGTATGGGAAATCACAGCTAATTTTCCAGTTCAAATTATTTTTTATTTTTAGTTTTTCTACCACTCATTACTCATACGCACATACAAAGTGTACTTGTATGTAAGCACAAAACGAAAAGTCTAGCACAAATACACGAAAGAAAAAAGAAAGACTACAGAACGAGAAACGGTAAATTTATTACGTTTCAAATGTCCATTTTTGTTTCGTTGTGTCATATTAAATTCGAAATTGATTTATCGGCGGCTATGGACGGCACAAACAGTAAGTACCACCTTTCTTAATTGCGTTGTTAGTGTCGACAGACGAGAGAAAAAAAAATGTCCGTTCATCGGTTTTTAGATAGTGAAGGTGCGGCAGCAGTTTGTCTGCGACAAAATCCACACAATGATCAACGACAACCGAGAAAAATTATCGTCGAAAATTTTTCTAATAAACAAAAGGACAACGGTGTCAATGATGAAAAGGGAATTTTACCGTCCGGTTCGCGTGAAACAACACCGATGACGGAAGAAATTAAAATTACCATCGACGAAAAAGGTTTTTTCTCCGGCAATCCATTTGTTGAAGTCACCAAAGGCATCATACACATTTATAAGAAAAAGTAAGTTTATTGTGTGGATAATAAAATTGTTTTGTGACAATGGATGACACAGCAAATTATATCGCGTTCACAAGCTATATGAACAATCGTTTACGTAAAATGTTTTTTTTTTTTTTTTTTTGCAGTGAACGAACCGAAGTTACTGACGGTGTATCGAAAATGCTGTGTTTATTGGCCGTACCAGCCACCCTCAATTGTCATGATATTCTGAATTTTGTTGCACCATGCCATTCGACCATTCAACATGTTCGCATCATTCGAGACGGGACTCCAAATCAATTCATGGTGTTACTTGAGTAAGTACTAAGTGATGCCGCTTCGGTTGTTTTATTTTTTCATTTATTTTTTTATTTTGTGCCATCGCGT